GAATTTTTTTGAAAGCTCTTTCTTCAGAATCATCCTAAAAATATCGAAATATAAAATAATTAGTTCAGCTGATTCTCGATTTCTAGCTAAAAAAATGTTAATTGGTACCTTTTCCTGATCTCTTTTTTTTTGATGCGGACAATCCAGCATTGAATGTTCCACCATTGGCCGTTCCGATTCCTAGAGAGCTACCTTAAATGTTGGATAGTGTAAGTGTACTGAGGTGGCAGCGGTCTCTTTACTTTTTCGCGATTGCCAATCTCTTGATAGCTGGCGATCAGGCCGAGTACCCTAGTAAATTTGGAAAATTAGTGGTATCCTTAACTAGTGCCTTTACAATTTCTATCTAACTTTTCATCCCATCAGATCGTCTTAGAGGCTTGAACGTCAGACAATCTTAGAGGTTGTCTGCGCTCCGATGGGGCTAGTACTAGGTCGTCTTAGAGGCTTGAACATCAGACAATCTTAGAGGTCATCTGTGCCCCAGCACTAGCTTCGTGGCTCGACTTAGAGACTTGAATGACAGAGATCTTGGAGGTCCCTGCCACGCCACCATTCCTTATCTATATTTTTAGCCAAAAAAATTCTTGAACTTGCCTGTTTATACTTTTCGTACAATTGCAATGCTTTTTCGTGCCTTTTGCCACTCTCATTTTTAATAATGATCTCGAGAGAAGTGAGGTAATATCCAATCTTATCAGGGAATGATTGTGCGTCGTCGCATTCGTCCAGAAAACCTATAATATTCCATTCGGAAGACTTGCGATCGAAATATTCGTGCACCCAATTTTCCATCATGAGCTGAAAGACAAAAATTCTCTGTAGTTGAATCGTATGGTTTTACAGGCGTTACGGAATCTATAAAATAATACGTTACAGAAAAGCGAAAGTAAGAATAGTAAAGGCGGTAAAAATATTTTGCCAGAAGTTCCATGACCTTCGAATTTGCTCCTACATGTTGATCGAATTTACAAATTGTAACGCGCACATGATTTTCATTAACTCGGAATTTTTATGAACATTGTATAATCAGAAACTTTATTAACAGTTCTAGCTTCGCTATTTCGATATTGATACAAAAATAAACTAGATGAAGCGTGAGTTTGAGCTCACACGGGCGCAGTATATGGCGCAATAACTATCATTAGGATTCTCCCAAAACTTTAGAGATTACATAATTGACATTAGCTGAGCTTAATCTAGAAATAGATGATGCTGTAAAAGTTTTAACTTGACTTATTTTTTCTTTATTGACCACATTAAAAAGCTTATAAAGTTTCCAGATCTTTTCAGTTCTTTTACGAAGAGTCTTCTTTGTAATTTTGTTAGAAATCTGAGTACGAAGCTCGAGATTAAGAAGAGCACTAGACATATTACTATTATGAGTTTTTTTAAGTTCCTTATGTCATTCTTTAAAGTTTTGCCAAAGTCAAAATACTAACTAATTGCTTTTTGATTCATATTATCATTTTTTAATTCAGCATGAATGATCATACTAAAGAAATATAAAAAATTATGAGGTTGGAATTCATCACTGGATTTTTCATTATCTTTCTTTTCAGAAATATCAGCAGATAATTCTTTGATGAATCTTTTCAGAATACCAGATTTTTTCTATTTTTTTCTCATTTTCACGAGATTTTTTGCTGGATCTGACTTTCATTCTTCCTATATTAAACTTGTTTGCTTAATATAAAAATTACATTTCTGAACCAATGAAAAAATTGTCGCAATTAGAATAACATGAATCTGATTTATTTACAAGAAAATTCTTAATATATGTTCAATGAATTACATATTTACAGATTAAAATAATAATCAGTGTGAAAGAATTTTGTCTTTACAACATATATGGAATTTTTGTTCAGAAATTGTAATATTATTGAACTTGATTTTATTAGATTGTTTTAATATGAGAATTTTAATTGATTCATTGCAATATGAATAAATAGAGACTATTATGTTAGCTTTAATCAATAACTCTCATGAATTTGCATTTTTGATTTCAGTCAACTTCTTTAATGAATCTGTAATTTTGAATTATTATCTGTAAATTGTTTTAAAAGAGTGAATAAAATCTTGTTGATCATATTAGATGGCTTAATAAGTAAATTTCAAAAGTTAAATATAATATATTTTTATATAGTATATTTTTGATAATTAATAAAACTAATTTCAGGTATTATAAAAACTAATTTCAGATTTAATAATCAATTCATTAATAAATTAATTGCTTTAAATTAGAATTACTTAATTTTTATAGGTATTACAAATAATTACAGCTGAAAAGTGAAGATTAATATTAATTTCACAAAACAAAAATAAATTAGCTTAGTCTTTTGTACATCTTACAAGTGTGCCTTTTTTTAACACATTGTCATAATTTAATTTTTAGAGCTCTTTTTAATGTTTATTATTAATTGTGACTTGTTTTCAATCATAATCATTAATTATATCTTTCATAAAATTAATTTATAATAAGTTATGTAACCTCAAAATCCATGTACAATAAATGCATCTTCTTCTATCATTAAGATAGGTTACCATTACTAGTTATATGTTATATATAAAAGTCACATAATTTCAAATTTGTTCAATAAGAATATAATAAATTAAATAATTAAATAATAAATGTGACGGCTGAATGAAGCTGAAACTCATGTGATTATAAATCACATAATCTTTAATGCATATCACATTTTATTTATCACATAATTAATCTTATTTAATATATTTTTTGATAAATATATATGTTGTGTCTCAGATGTCAATTTGTGTCAGGTATCGATCAGCCTAAATTAAGATAGGAGTATTACTAGCATTAGGGTTAAAGATGGCGTGGCAACTGTTGCAACGTGGTGACAAATAAAGCATCACCTAGTTGCAACTAGTTGCGGCTTATAA